TGGGTATTTGTTAAGGACTGAACTCCTATCAAACAGGGGCAGATCGGACATTGCTTGCCTGAGTTACAGCAACTTCCTGTTTCATGGCGAAACATCAAACTTTGTCAGGCCGCCAGGGACACGCCCTTTGACAAAAACTCAAGATCTTCGCAATTTAGCATCGCAAAGGCCTTATAATTACAGTCAGCAAATTTGAAGATGATCCGCTTAAAACTGTAGGAGGAGTTCGTTAAGGTACGAGGCCTGAAAATGACAAAAACTGCCCAAAAATCATACAGGAAATTCAAAATAACGGACTTCCTGTTGGGTTTCGGATTTTGAACCAGGAGACTTTTTTGTAGGTATCGGTGTGTTACATGTGTGTACTGAGTTTCGTATGTGTACGTGAAATGTAGCTCGAGGGGCACTTCGTTTAAATTTTACAGGTGGCGCTATCGAGCCATTTTGCCACGCCCAATTCTGAAACACATATCAGATGTAAATTTCCGCCAGTTCTGATGAGTGTGCAAAGTTTCATGAGTTTTCGAGCATGTTTAGGCCCCCAAAAATGCGATTCACTTTGGAGAAGAAGCGGAAGAATAATAATAAGCGGAGCAATTCCAATAGGGTCCTCACACCATCGGTGCTCAGGCCCTAATAAGAAACGGAGCAATTCCAATAGGGTCCTCACACCATCGGTGCTCGGGCCCTAATTACAGCTGGCTTTTTTTGCAGGTGTTTCTTATTTATTGCATAATCTCCCCACATTTCCTTTGGGTTTAAATACTAGATCTGGGCCATGTTTTCATGTTTTGAGTCATTCTCATGTTGGAATGTCCATTTATGGTTCAGCTTCAACATTTTTTACATATAACCTCACATTGTTCTCAAGCACTCCATACTATATAAGCCCAGAAAAACCAAGTGACTCACAAATGCAACCAACTCACAAAGAAGCATTGCTAGGAGATGCATGACAGATGAAAACAAACATGGATGTGCAGGAGCCGACGGCAGTGTTTTTTGCTACTTTGTGTGCTGAGTTGCAAAATAATGAGTTGCAAAATAATGGGAGCTGGAGGTGAGTTGTGCTGTTTTAATGTCTTTTTTTATTTTTAAATAAGTGTTTGCTTTCCTACATTATGAAACTTTTTAAAAAGTTGTGTGAAGCATTTAAAAACACTCGAAGACATTAGACCATTTCTGCCACAAGTTGTTCCTGTAGTTTTACTATGTTAAATCCATGGTGAATGGTGGTGATTTGTGTTTATTGAACAATGTTTTTTCTGGTTTCCACATCAGTGGCAGTGTTTTGATATCTGTAGCTTTAACAGAATTCTGCGCTGAATTTGATTGCTTCTCACGAGATTTCACAGAGATGTAATTGATTCTGCGGCGAATTCGACTGCTTTCTTCACTGTATCTCCCAGCGCTGTGTATAACGGTGTCGAGATCAGATAAACCGAGCAGATAAACTAGCGCGGATTCGTTCCACTTTCGGTTCGTTTGTCCAATGTAGCTCTTGTAAATCGGTCATGATGAGAACGCAAGGCTGTTCATTCCATTTTTGGAACTGAGAAACGACCTTTCTTTGACTGAATGCGCATTGCGATAACATCACGGGACACGTCTAAGTCCAAAATCTGCGGCAATTACGAAAATTTGCGAGCTCTTGCGAAAATTGCGGAGTTTGCTTGATTTTGCAATAAATTCAGCGATCGCAGAATCGCAAAATCCTGGAGGAACTGACTAAACAATCCAATTATCAAATGAAAATGTTTTAAGATGATGTGATACTCACGTGCCCACATGGGAAAGCTCTCCGATCAGCTGGTTAATGGCACCCTGGGCCATTTCTACAATAACAGACAAACAAATCTTGTTTTACAGCAGCTTCACAGTAATAAACAGGAAAATCAATTATGAAAACATCTTTATGTAATACAGCTGTAAAGCAGCTCCACAAAACAGTAGTGTCATTATTCAGTTCAGACATGGACGCGGTGACTCTGACCCGTGACGTAGGGCTGCAGGGCTTTAGGAACGAGGGTCTTGGCGATCTTCAGCTGCTCCACGCTGCAGCGGCCCAATTCCAGGCCGAACGCCATGCCCATGCGCTTCAGCACCTCCACATCATCGTGAATCTCAAACATGTTGTCGAAGTTAAAGAGATACTCAAACCTGCAGATAGAAGCACTGTGTCAGGAGACGGGAAGAGCAGACGGAGCTGAAGACACGTCACACGCTCACTTGTCATTGGAGATGCTGCAGTCGATGACGGTTCTCTTGCTGGTGTTGACAATGATGAAGGGCAGGTGGATGATAGTGTTTGCTGGTGGAGGTCTCTTGTTCTGCTGCTCTCCCTGCCGATTGCGCTGCACCAGGTTTTTAAAAGCAATTTGCTGCAAATCACAAGAAATCAGACTTACAAGAATCATCATCCATCATCATGAGCACGACAAATTTATAATAAAAGATTGTTTATTATTCAATTTAAGCTAAATCAAATAAAAATAAAATACTAACACTATCAATAAAAATAAGATCTATAAATTTACTTCACATTTTAAATAAGACATCTGTAAAAATTTGGTCATCAAAAGTGCTTAACTGCCATGAAAATATTGTGAAAAAAAATTATATGCATATATATATATTACATTTTATTTATAAGTAGGCATTAGGCATTTACTTATAATAAACTATTAGGCAGTTGTTGCCTAATAGTTAGAGCAGGGGTTCTCAACTCCCATTACCAGCAGGAAATGTATGTGGGGGGAGTGAGTGAACAGTGCTCTCTTCTACCCTCATTACCCACAACTGAGGTGCCCTTGAGCAAGGCACTGAACCCCCAATTGCTTCCTGGGAGCCACAGCAAAAATGGTTGCTCACTGCTCCGGGTGTGTGTTCACGGTGTGTGTGTGCACTTGGATGGGATACATGCATGGCTACATGTCACATCATTTATATGGTTTTATCAAACTAAATGATGTCAAATAAGACATCTGTAAAGAGAACTTGGTGCCCAAATGTGCTTAAATGTAAAGATCCTATAGCACAATAAAAAAAAAAGACAATTATACATACATTCATACATACATATATATTTATTTATTTTATTTATATTGTTTATATCTGTAATGACAATTTGGGGCTTTTTTTTTTAAATTTTGTATAAATCTTTATTAAGCTATGTTGTTCTAATCGTCACATTCAGCCATATCGCAATTCTGGTCTTTCCGTCCCCAAATTTAAGACCTCCTGAAATCATAATTAAAGGCACAATATGTAAGATTTTCGTAATAAAATATCCAAAAACCACTTGCACATTGTTATATATTTCATGCAGTTGTGCACTTACGTTATCCCAAAAGTTCCCAAGGATTTGTAAATCCAGAGAAATTCCAATGATAAATAATAGCTCGTCCCGGTTCATTCTCGCCTATCAATTACGTAATATCCGCGCTATCGGTTTCCGCTTGTAGAAACTAAGGCAACACACGTGGACAAAAATGCTGCTACAGTTAAACTAAATCCATTACGGCAGTCGCGAAAAAAATGAAAATGAAATGAAAAGTGTTGACTGCAGCATTAAATTTAGATCTGCTCAACACTGCACCATGAATCTTTTCCCACGTTTTTACAGTGTTGCGCATTACAACCAATCACACACGAGTCTGTTGAGTTTATGAACGCAGCGGCCAATCAGAGGCATTTAGATGAGTCAGCGCTGAAACACCGGAGTTTTGTTCAGTGCGCGCGCTCGCTGAGTGTATTCTCTCGTCATAAACAACAAAGTGCAGATGTACGTATGATGCAAGTAGGAGATTCATTCATCAAACAGTGTATAGACAGCTTTACTGATTATAAGGGGAGTTTTTAGAGAGTGCTTAAACTTGCGCTAGACTGAAGTCAGGCATACTGTTCTTTGACAATGTAACGTTAAATGTTCTTTGCTCGCTTTCTCTATATAATTTATTCGCTGTTTGAATAACTTTGGAAGGTACAGGTAATAAAAAAAAATAATTAATTACATCCGTGAACATGATTCGGACATCTCCCATTGTTCCTCTCCTTCATAGCGTTATCAAGCTTCGCCTGTTATTGTTTTGAAAATGCAACCTCTAGCGGCGAAAACTTACATATTGTGCCTTTAAGATGGTCTTGTACAATTTTAGTCTTGTACAACAATAGACTTTTTATGGCCTTAAATTTGATACAACTAAATTTAAGACTTTTTAAGGACCCGTGGAGACCCTGTATTTTGCTTAATCAAACTAAATGCTGGTAAATAAGACATCTGTAATGAAATTTGGGACTTAAATGCGCTTATTTATGACAATATTGTGCAATTGTACACACAATATTTTGTTAAATTGCAAGCTTTTGCTTTTCTAAAGTGCAAAAACAACAATAAAACAAACCACCACACCTCTCTCTTTTTCTTGTATTTCATGTGATTGAGAAGCTCAGTGTGGAGTGTTGTTGCTGCTGTGACAGACAGGACGTGATGTACCTGCAGTATGAGCTCCTGCAGCTGAGACCGTTTGTGTTTAATTCTCTCCAGTCGTCTCTGCTGCTCGGCCTTCAGGACAGAAAACAGGGTCACGCGCATTCACAAAAACAAGACATGACAGCCTCCTCCACACTGACTGACCTCCAGGTCCTGACACTCCTGTGCCGAGTTGGTGGGGAATCCGATCCATTTGATCTCCTTCTTGTCTTTGGAGATGATGTTCATGGCCATCAGGACATTCAGAGCATCGTAAACCCGTCTCCGGATGTTCTTCTGATCGTACACATGCTGGAGGACAAACAACATGAGCGAGTGAGTGAGTTACGGTTCTCTGTCTGACATGAAGTGAGTGTGGCAGCAGTAACTGAACTGACCACGTCGTTCGGGGAGATGTTGTTGTCGCCGGAGCTGAAATCGGCCACCAGCTCGTCTGCCACCTCGTTGTAGGACGTCACCACTTTCTTCTGAACCTTCTCACACACTTTCATGGAAAAATGGCGCAAACCCTTCCCGTTCTTATCGCCCTTCCTGCTGCGCCTGCCAGAGGAGTTACTCATTCATATTAGGGCCTTTCGCACCGCTTTAGTTCCAGAACTAAATGTACAGTACTAAAGTACTGGGACGATTTTGCGCGAACTATTTCCCAGTACCATTTAAAGGGTTGCATTCGCACCGACAGTGTGTACTAAGAAGTGATGTAAGCCGGTCGACAGCGACGTCATTTGTGTGCGGCGTTCAACAACAGAAACAAAGAAGAACAACATTAACAACAGGAGGATGGAGGACGCTGTGATCGGAGCTGTGTTT